AAAAGGAAAAAAAAGAAAATTAAGGAAATATGCAATAGCACTAAGAAGGTGACAGAAATGCAGAGATGCAATAGGAATGTGGAGCATGATTGAGTGTGCTGTTGTGTTGCTGCTCTGTGATCGTTTGGGGAAAAGGCGAGGTTTTTCACAATAACTGACCTGATTTATAAAACAATTTCAGTTGTGTCCCCTTTACATATTTTATTATTATCATTAAAACCTAACCTTATTTCAATTTTTACTATTCAATTTTAACATGTATTTTGACGTACTCTGTATTTGCAACAGTTCAAAATCAACCTCTTCTGTAGTTTTTTGTATTCATTTATCATCCTCACCTCATTCTTCCCGCTTTTTTCTTCTACTTCAACTCATCGCTACTGGTTCATCACTTCGCACTTCAGTCATCTCAACTTTTGACTACAGGTTACTTCTTCAAATTACACTTCGGTCACCTAATGTCATTGTCGACGTGTCTTCTTCGCTTGTTGTTATCTGAATTTGTCATTTGTCTTTCTGTCTAAAAACTGTTATTTACTCGGAACTGAAGAACGTGTTATGCTCTATAAAGATCATGAAGTGTAACTGTATAAGTATTGACGGTTTTATATGTTTTTATCATTTTTATTTTGCCTGGTTTTCAGCAATTTTAAACTGTTTTGCGAAGAAATGAAGGGCTGCAAAGTGAAAAATCTTTCAGTTTTTTACTGTTCTAGGATCTGACACTTGCTGTCATTTAAGCTTAGACTCAGTTTGAATTTACCTTCTAATCTGTCAGTTCCTTATACAGTGGATTAGTCATTTTGAATTTTGGTCGGTTAGTAACCGATAATAAAAGGTTTATCTTCCAAAAGCTTTTGGCTTTTTATCATTTCCTTTCTCTTAAGGATACTGCTGGGCATCAAATTCAAAACTAAAGTTTTTCCCCTATGTAGCGCTCTTGCTGGTTTCCTTCAACAGCCATCTGAAGGTTGAGTAGTTCAAAAATCAGCCACTGCTCGTTTTTTTTTTATATGCCTAACTAAAGTCACTTGAATTAATGCAGAGATACAACAGGTCTAATAGAGGTTTCTACTTTTTTTTTTTTGTTTTTATTTCTTTTGTAGCTGATGCGGCATCACTGACAAATGGTTTTAGGACAGGTGAAATTGACGTCAGTTAAAAAACTGAAAAGAGAAAAAAAAAACTCTTTCACTTTCTCTTTCTTTTCAGAAAAAATCTTTTATTGTCGTAATTTCCCAGGACCCAAGGTTAATTTAATAATTCTCATTTCTTTTTTTCTTGGCGCACTGCAGAAAAAAACAGTTTAAACAGGGCTAATTTTTATCGTTAAAGTTTTGGATGGAAATTATAGCTGAAAATAAAGAAAAAAAAGCAGTATGATTGCAAATATTAGAATCAATGTCCTTGGATAAAAAAATTTTTGCCTTATATTATCATCAGGCGTCACCAACGATGACAGCAGCAGACTTCGCTCTCTTTTTGATGGCATACTTTTCAAGGAGACAGGGTAGAAGAACAGAACAACAACAAGAAGAATGAAAGAAAGAGGCAAACCTTTAGAGTAGTGGGTGTTCTATAAATTTTTCTTCACCTGTCTGTTGCACGTCAGGGGTTCTACATCTGATGGTTGGTGGGAGGTCAGCTTTTTGCAGTCTATGTATCCATAGTTTGCACTAATTTATAAGATTGATAAAATTGTTGATTTATTGCCGTTATCACACGCAAAAATTAATGTTGATGTTCTCTGAGGATTTGTTTGTTCAATTAAATCACCGGGCAATAAATGGTTAATTTTAATGAAACTGTAAAAACTGAGATTTGACGTATCATTCTTTTCTTTCTACTCCTATCTTTTTGACAATGTTTCTTTGCTCAAGAAAAAATTGCGTTTATTATGGTGATTGCAACATTTTTTTTTCAGCATCACTGTACAGTAAGTACTTTTAGAATTTAACCTGATCTTATGTATGTCGTGGTCTTTTCATGTACGCTGAGACAAGTTAACTGCCAGCATTAAAAAACTGACATTAAATTTCTTTTTTTTCTTTTTTTTTTTTGAGATATCTTCAAATAAATTTTACAAAAACAGCTATTGTGACTAGAAGACTATCTATGAATGTGATATAGATGTTTCAGAAACTGAAGTATAACTTTCAAAATTTGCCATTTTACTTCAGCAAATGAAAAATAAAAAAAAAAATTATCTTCTCAAAAACGAAAAAGGAATGGAAGGAAACTCAATGACAAAGTCGTCGTCAACTTTACACTAGTTTTTTTTTTTTTCATTTTTAATTTTTAGGATTCTGTAGTTGTTTCGGCATCGTTATCATCACTGTTTCAGACAGTAGTTCATTTTCAATTAAACTTTTCTCCCCTTTTTCCTCCACTACAAGTTGTTTCTTTTCGCTCCAATAAAGGTTAATTCTTCTTAGACAAGTTTTTTGTCACAACTTTTTTTTTTGCTTCTTTTTTTCTTCCAAAAGTTTTTAAAAATATTTGTCAAAATGCAGAGAAAAAGAAGACAAACAAGAGGCTATTAGCCATAATTTGAATGTTTAAAAAATACTTGTGTTTCAACTTTGTCATCAAATTTTTCACTAATATATGTCACTTAGGTGGAGGAGAAGGAGAAGGAAGACGAAGGGTTAAAAAAAAGAATGAAAAGTGAGATAGAAAGAAAATAGCTAGTTTTATGGGGTGAAATAAACCAGGGGTGTGCAGCTGGGTATGAGTGAAAAATGGTGCGTTTAAAAAACTGATTTTAATATTGGGCCTTGTTCAATAGACGTGTGATAGTATTGTGCGTTCTGTACAGATCCTATGTCCGGTTTCAGAATTCCTGAAACTTGTTTTTGGTGCCATTCAATAAATAATCCGTTTCGTTTTTTTTCCAGAAAAAATTTTTTTTATATTTATTGCAGCTACGTTCTACACTGACCATTGGACATTTCTCCACTTTTCAAGTTCACTAAAATTTCACTCTTCACGGTCAAAAAATTTCTTATTTTTATTCTCACTTTTATTTTATTTGCTGTTTTTTTGCTTTTTCATTTTCTTCTTTTTTTCTGTCTAATTTTCCTTTTTCGTTTATCTTTTATTTTCTTTTTATAACAACCTTTGTCTTCCAGAGTTTTCAGTTTCTTTTTTAAACTTTTTCAACAAAAATAAAAAGCTGTTTAGGTGAGACGGAAGCTTGTACGGATCCTTACGGGTTGAAGGTGACGGTTGTGTAAAATGTTTTCTAAAATAGTTTGGTGAAAGTAATAGGGGTCAACAGGACTACGGAAGTCAACAACACGGCCAAGGATTACGGGTTATAGCGACCCGCGGGGGGAGGGGAAGGGGGATGCGGGGTGCAGATAACAAGAAGACTTTTCACCAAATTCACCCACTTTCACTTCTTCCCTAAACAACTAAATGACCAAACTACAGACAATCTTCCCTGCGTCAAGTATTCTTAGTATCTGACTGGGTAAAAACAAATACTTTTGTTAGCCAAAACGACATTATAAAAAGGTTATACTACTAATTTTCTGACGTTTAGGAGAGGGTTTTTTGGCAAAGAATTCTATTGAGTGAATCAGTATCTTGTTGCTTTCGTACGTAAAATATATTATTTCAGCAGTCTGTCTTTATATGAATATCAGTTTTTTCACTTTCAAAGTTCCATCGACCATTTAGACCTTTATTAAACATTAAACATTAAAACAGTGAAATTCTTGGCAGAATAAAACGTTTACTACTGGAAAAAAACCTGTCAAAAATCAGAAGCACTAAATGTTTAGCATTAGTTTTAGTTAAGTTTGACAGAACAAAAAATTGAAACGGAAAAGAATTTTGAAGATAATGTTGAAGTCATAGTTTGGAAAATGCGCATAACGAATTTGTGTGTAACAGAATTTGGTTTTCATCCGGTCTTGTTTACGTTTCCCATTATGCCGTTTAACTTATGCGTAATTCAGCTGACCCTCTGAAGTTCCTTTTCGTAAACTTGTTTTTCCTGACCTACAATATTACCATATAATTAGTGTACAAAAAACTGGAGTAACGGGTATGACGAAAATCTGTTCTAAAATCAAAAACTGTTGAAAACGACTGTGCGACGAAACTGTGATGACTGAAAAAAATTGTATTTTTTTCTCTTTACATTTCCTCAGCTATTATCCAGTGTGTAATTTGTAAATCCTTTCAAAGTACAAGCAGAATTATTTGAACTCTTCCGTTTTTCAGTCCTGTCTTAATTATTGAGTGTTGAAACAACCTCAAAGATTTATCGTTTTCTGGGTAAGAAGCTTAAATGTGTAAGTAATCTTTGATCATACGCAATAGTAAACGACTATCAGTAACATATAACATATTAAACTACTCAGTCTATCGTTTCGTTACTCTTAAAAAAGCTCATTTGCACACGGTAAATGCCTAACCCTAGTGCCCGACTTCTTTTTTTATTTTTCGGAGGTTCTGTTAGAGAGCCGGAATAACAACTGGTGGCCGTTTTCTCACAATATTTCATGTTTCGCTTTTCATTATTGGTCTTCTTCAAACTGCCTAGTTATTTTTTGACTTGATTATGCAAATAATTAAAAAAACCTTTACGAAGTTAGTGCTGCGAATAAAAATGAAGAATTTTTGGGTTTAAGCATGAGTTAAGATAAAATAAATAACTTTGGTTGGAGAAAATTTATCTTTCTGTTTACGGTTCTACCTGCTTTTGTTGAATATCTATTGGTAGCAACGTTATTCATAAAACCTCGAACAATTCATCTTACAAAAAACAGTCTCTTTTGCCAGAATCCATACACATAACTTTTCAAATACTGTTAAGTTCGACTTCCTTAAAATATACATGTTCATGAGAATTGTTTCATTCCCGTACATCAATTGATCTTTTTGATCACTTCTTGGCGTTACTATGTGATGAAATAATTTTTTACAGTAAATTGATTGCTCAAACAAGTTCTACGGTAACAGTATTCAAACTTCTGTACAGTTGCAGGATGGACTTAACTGGTGGAGAATCATGTTCAAGCTCTCGTTCTTCCCCGTTTTCTGCAAATGGTACTGGCCTCAGCCTGCTGTGCAGCGCACTTGACCAACGACCTGATCTCATAGATTCATCAAACAGTTCTGAAGGTTCAACATCACCATCGCCGTCGCAGTGTGGTTCAGGCATTTCACAGCGAAGGTGAAAATTTATTTCCGTTTTTTAAAACTAGCAAACATTGACCATCTATAGGCATTAGATGATAACTGCATTATATTGGTCTTTACTTCACTTTCTTTACCCTCATTTTTTAACATAATTGAACAGTAAACGCCAACTGATTAAGTTGTAAAAGTTATTGACAGAAGCTTAAATTTCAGATCATTTACAAATGACAATACACGAGATGAAGCATATTGGGAAAAAAGAAGGAGAAATAACGATGCAGCTAAAAGATCAAGGGAAAAGCGAAGAATGAATGACATTGTAAGGATGAACAGTTCTTTGTTTTTACTTCAGATACTTGAAAATACTTTGGGCACTCTTCAGCAAGGATTTAAGTATTGTAGAATCAGAACACGGATTTTTTTAAATTCAAACCTCTAACCTGCAATGTTTTTAGGTCATGGAGCAGCGGCTGATAGAGCTAACAAAGGAAAATACAATTTTAAAGAACCGTCTTCAGCAGCAACACGACTTTGCGTCACCGGCAACAAATCTACAAAGTTTACCACATCATGATTCCGTCATCGTTGCGGGACCTAAATATGAGACTGCTTCATTACCAGCTCCATCAATAACTGCTTACACCGATTATGTGAATCCTGCCGGCGCGTCGACGAAGTTACAAGCCGTTTTTCCGCAATTATTAGGTGCAAATCCCTTACTGGCTTCAGGCCCCTCACCAACTTTACCGTCACAAAGCATTCCAATGCTTCACCTTTGCCATCTCCAAGCTGCTTTCCAAACACAACAGGTTAGCAAAACATCACCTCACAGGTTTTCAGTTAGATCAATCAATAATTTGCAAAACGGTTTCCACCTACAACGACTTATATAACCATTCATTTTCAGTACCGCACTCCCTCAGCTGCTCACATTTCTTTGGGAAATGGCGCTTTTCAGCCATTCCAAAGTACGCGCGATGTTATTCCGCGACGAAGTAGCCCTGATTCTTCTACTAATGACTCAATTCCATTGGACCATTCCTATAGGGGTACAGTGGATTTTTTAAAAGTTAACCTGACAAAAAGTTCATACTTTTGTTTTCTTCTGTCTAAGATAATTCTTTTTTCAGAACCTTTAGAGCTGAGGCAGATGCCGTCATACCGATGCCCGAGCAATCAAGCAGGAAGGGATAGTGAAAGTGCAGAAAACTGGCAAAATCATTCATCTCATTTGTCCCATGAACGACTAGACAATGACCAACAAAAACCTCAGTCGTTACTGGAATTGCTTTCAACCAGGCGACCGTCTCCTTTAGTACCAGAAACGAGAACCGACATTCATTCTGGCCTTGCTAACACAGCTTTTAGAGAGGTATAGTTTCACTGTTGCATTGCTGCTGCTCTTCTTAAGTCTAAATATCTTATGCTTATTACTTTTCCGTATGCCATTTTGTGTGCTCATCATTTAAATTAATTTCCATAAGATATCTAGTTCTCATTTCTTTTACAGTGCGATCTGAAAAACTGCCTAAGTAGCTTAAACGTTAATTTATGCACCAGCAAAAGTGATGTCGATAGTATGGGTTCTCCAAATAGCAATCAAAGTACAACAGATTCGACTCACTCAACTCATTCACAATCAAGTCCAACATCTAGTCAGCCCAATGCCGCAATTGTCAAAGCGCTTAAAGCTCGTCCCTCCAGTAAAGTCCAGGTAACTTGCTGCTCTAATTGCATATCGTAGATGCATATGTCGTCAACCACTCTTTTTTCACCATAGCATCAACTGTTACTGTTTGCCTCTTTGTATGCATACAAGTTTTTTTTTAATGGAACATCTGCTGTGTGTGGTAACGGCTACAAAAGTAATATTTTAGCAGCAGTATATGGATCGTAGAAGAAGGAACAATGAAGCAGCTAAGCGCTGTAGAGCTAATCGCCGTGCACAGTTTGAACTTCGATCGAAACGTGCTCAACAACTTGAACAAGAAAACAATGAATTGCGGAAAGAGATGAACCGGTTAAAGCAAGAGATTGAACAGCTAAAAGCTATGCACGCTGTCCAAAATGCGTCTATTTTACAACAGTAATTAGATGAAACAATACAGGAGAAGCTTCTTCTAATAGTGATTACTACATTGATGTAAACTGCAAGCATCGAACAGGACTACTGATCAGCAAAATTCTTTTTGCTTCTCAATTCAACTGGTCTTTTACAGAATTCAGTAGATGTTTCGGAATTCAATTTTATAACTGTTGATCAGTAACCTGTTTTACTCGGTCTATATTCCCGGTAATTGGCTAATAACTTTGCAATCTTTCTGATTTCATCTGTTATTTCGTTACTGAAATTCTTTTTTGGATTGGACTGTCGAGAACTACCTTCACTAACCTTAATTTTTACATTCGTAATCTGCTTTTCAAAATCACTAATATAGAAAGAAAAAGTTCTATGTCAAAAGTTTTCGACATCTAAATTAAGAAAGCTTTACAATTTGTATTGGTGTCATTCTTCAGTGTTACTTGTTTACATGTCTTTTTGCGCTAACAGTTAAGTATTCAGTTTAAACTATTCAAAAAAGTGGCTTTCATTTTGATTTTTTGATGCATTTCACTTCTTAGCTTTTCCCCTTGCCCTTTTTACTCGCTTTTTGTATGCTGTTGAAAATGCTCACAGAATCTTGTCGCTTTCTCGTACACTTAGCTTAGTGGATCATCAGTTTACCTTTCAAAACAGGAACCAGTCAGTTTTTACTCGATTCTTCACATTTTGCTTTTCGTGGTTAAAGACCTGTAAAAAATTTTTGGGGAATTTGCGAAGAAACCTAAATAACTGCTAACGCAAAGAACTTTTTTGTTATTTTCTGCTGACGGTGCTACTATACCTTTTTATATTTTATATTTATATTTAACATTGTAAATTCGTCTGAATACATCAGAATACTGTCAAGTGGTGGTAGCCAGCATTAGTACTCTCTTTCACTTATATAGGGCTCATTGAGATAAACTGCAGAAAGATCTGATGATCAATGAGGGAGTAGTTGTTGCAAGCGGGTTTAGTAAACAGAATTTTGCCGATGTCAAAATAGAATTCGTACGTCCCTTTCGTAGTTTATTACTGGATTTCTGTGTGGCCACAGAAAATGTCTTTAACGAGATTGCCCGAGTCTGAAGATTTCTTTAAGACCTCATCATACATTTTGTCAGTAAAACTTTCCCAATAATTCTCCCGTTTATCATTCTGGAATAATTGTCTAAAGAAACGCTCGGCTCTTCTTGGAAAGTATTTATCAAATCTCACTACCTGTTATGTAGAAGTGCAATTTTTTCCCAATTAAAATTTTTTTTAAAAAACAAAAAAGCAAAATGAACAGCAACGTTTTGCAAGTAATAGTATAATAAATTCACGGATTTTCAAAATTTTGACTCGCTGCTTCATCCGCGGCTTCAAAGGCAACTAGCAAGGTACGAGAAATTTAGTTTATTCGGTATTTTTCTGAACCAGCATTATCTTGAGAGAGAAAAACGAGACAAATGTAGGAGAGTAATTTGCAAATACACAGAAATTTCGGTGCACGGTTAATGCTAGTGGTCAGGAAGAAAGCTTGTTTGCTCGAAATAATGTCAAAAAGAACCAAAGTGGGTAGAGTACAAATTTTCATATAGCCGAATGCTAGTCAAAAGAGCGGAAAACTGAAGCACCTTTGGAAGCTGCTGACAAATGTCGACAATTCACAAAGTCCCTTGACCACTCCCTATACTGATATGCAGCGTAGCCTATAAGTGTGGATAAGCACAGAACTCAAAAACACGTGACACAGAAAAACCGTTTTTCACTTCATGTCAAAATTCAAATACCTGAAACCAGCTTGCCAACAACTTTTGCTTCATTACGTTCTACATCCCATCATCATCTGCACAGTTTTTTCGTCATTAAGTATATAAAAACCTAAACACCACGACAAAACAAAATAGTCCACTACAATAACCTAAGAATGATTTTCTACAATGATTGAAAAGAAGTAAATTCCCAATACGGTGCTGCCATGAGCGACTCAGCTACGTGAAACCGGTGTCAATATTCCAGTCAAAACCCCACGCAAAATCTTCACTTTTCTTCTACAGTAAAAGACTTTTACTTCAACCCCCATCAGAACGCGCTATTTAACGAGGAATACATTTCTCTCATGTTTAATTCCCGTCCAATAACATAACTGGACAAGTGAGGCAGACAAACTACTTTCAACCTTCAGTAGAAATTTCAGAAACTTTACTACCTAGCACAAAATATGTATTAACGTTTCCCCTTTTTTGATCAGAAAAAACACTAGCTAATTCGTCCGTCAGACCTGAACAACGTAGTTCTACCTACTTCTCACATAAAGTAAACTTATCCTAGAAGCACCAAACCTCGCTACAAGTCCTCCTAATTACCGTACTAATACTTCTCCAATATCATAAAAATTAAATTTTTTTTGTCATATTAAGCTCCTCTGCTCTTCAAATCATCATTTAGAACTGAACTCAACTCGTATTTATTGAAAGTGTTTGTTCAAACCCCAAAAAAGCAACATTTTGTTTATCACCCAAAAATGAAGCAACTTTATAGATTACATTATAGTAAAAAAAAGCAAATAACAGGCAAGGCTCTCTTCTATCCATCCAAAACTGAAGCTATATATCCGCTAAATATCAACCTGATGAAAAAACGTTAAAATGCATCTTCATACATTGATGTCAAAACGTATTACAAAAATTTTATGAATTTTGACATAACTATTGTCAAAGCAAAAAGAAAAGTGTACAAGCAACCATTTGCAAAATAGGCAAAAAAGAGATGAAATGCAAAGACAAACCAATAGACTTTCAAAAAAATATTCCACTTTTTTTAATACACAAATATTTGTAAAAGATTACGAATAATTTAGATATATTACCCAAAACCACAACTTCGGTATCAAACCAAATGCTTACTTTCCAATAAAAATAAAAATTACCTTTTATGTCCATAATTTTGAGGAAAACTGCTTTCTTCAAAAAGTAATTGTACCTGAAGTCCACCAGTTATTTTAAATTGCGAAACGAGTAAATTCTGTGCGAACGAAAAACATACTCAAGTTTTTAAAGCTTAACAAAGCAAAAACTAACCAACAACATTTGAAAAATTGAGAAAAAAACTGTTTCTTTTCTGACAAG